TTGTTGTTTAGCAGGCCTGGGCCAGGTTCTAACCCACCACCCTCAGTGCATGTGGCTGGCGCTGAAACCACTGTGCTACAGGCGCCAAGCCATGGCTTTTGCCTTTATTGCTTACAGTTTAGTGTTTTGGTTTTTAAAACTACCTTTAAAAGCTAGATTTGGTACAGGTGAATGATGTTAGTGAGTGCCTTTTTAATGAAAAGTAAGTTATGTAAAGAGATTGATTTAAGTTTTTATTTTTTACTTTATAAAGTAGTTCTCAAAGTAGAATCAAAGAGAATTTCTAAAAAACATTTTTGACCTAAAATATGTCTTTGCAGTAGATTAATTGCTTGTCTTGGTATGTAACCTAAAGACTAACATTTGTTTTAGATAAATCTTAAACACTGCTGTTTTCACTTTATTAGTTTTTAAGTATATTTGGAACATATCCACCAGCTTTTGTTTGGTTAATACGAAAAATGTAAAACAGTGTCCTGGTTTATGTGTGAGGAAACTGGTAACAGGGTAACAGGGCCGACACCTTAATGCAGTGGTTCTCCAACCTGTGGGTCGCAACACACAGGAACTGTATTTAAAGGCTGGTGGCATTAGGAAGGTTGAGAACCACTGCCTTAATGGGATTAACATACTAATACTTATAATTTTATGTATGTATTTAAGTGTACATAAAGTACAGATTCTTAAGCCTTTCTTTGACTACTTTCCTGCAGCATTTTCATGTCTATACGTATATGTACTTGGGAAAAAAATGAAAGTATCCAGTTATACTTCATCTGGAAATATTATTATATCATAGAATTTAACCAAAATCCAGTTGTATTCTATAAATCCAATGCATAAATGTAAGAAGAGGGAAAACAGATTCTCACAGTGAATACACAGAGGAGGAAACCCATGCCCTAGTTTGTTGGTTTCACTTGTAATCACAGAATATGTTTATTTTTACAGGGGGATCTTTGGATGTATATAGGAAAATTCCAGAGCACGTCCTTGGAAGAATTGCAGTAGCGGTAAGTATATGGCTCTAGTGATGGGAAATTTGGGTGATTTAATCATTCTAAGAGAGCCTATTTTATATCCTCAGGAGTTTGTTTTCCTTCTTCTTCAATCCTAGTGGCTCCCAGGACCTTCTTAACTTTCTTCTGCTTTTATCATTTCTGTCCATTGTTCTTTTCATAGCCCCACCCACAGTAACGACATAGCTGCGTGCTCTTCAACATGGTCTAGTTTCACATAGTTGTGAGGACCTTAGTGCTCTTGTAAAACAATAGAATTTCCAAGTTCTTCAAAAAGAAAACTGCTTTTTTAGACATTTTCTGGTTATAAGGGTATGATTAGAAAATACCTGAAAAGTCTAAGTTATTAAAATAGTCTCTGAGACAATGTTATTTTATGCTTAAAGATTTTTGCAGATTTTATCTGTTCTTCTGATTTCTTTTTTTATCAACTGCACCTGGGAATTTATTGTCTTTGTGATTAATTGCAGTTTCTCTATATTACTGTATTTCATATATTCACTAATAAACTGATAAAATATGTCAACTAAACTAACATTAAGATACAAATTCCAGATTTCAATTTTGGAATAATGTAGGCTGAGCAATGTCTGAGAGAAATCATGGGGTAGTGAAATAGTAAACAATTGCTAAACTAAAGGCACTCTGATAACTTCAGTGGCTTGATGCAGAACAAAGTGATCATACCATGTACCATTTAATTAAATAGCTGATTTTTCGCATTCATTATACATCAAACTGACAACTCAAATCCTTTAATCCAACATGAACACTTATTTAGTCTTAGTTCATTGTAATTCACAGCTTTCCTTTTTTCTTTCTAATTATTAGTGTGAACTGCCCAGGGTGATGAGAACTTTCTTTTCTGATGGTATTGCTGCTAAGTAGCTTCTAATCTACATGTGTAGGTAGATTAGTTTGGTATGAAATTTGAGTACTTAAATCACTATTGTAGATGAAAATAAAAATGTTTCATTTCCTCTTCTGATCTCAGGAGGGAGCGACTGCTTTGTGGCTTTTGGCAGTTCTTGGCTCTAAAAGTTTAATAACATGTAGGATAAAGGGCAAAAAAAGGCAAGGATACCAATCGAAAAGAGAAAAGTATATGCGTGTTCTATATACTCAATTATCTGTCAAATTTGAAAAAAATAGAAATCTGCCTTCTTCAGTAGAGAAGCATGTTCTTCCTGGACTTCATAAATCTTACTTTCCTTTTGTGTGGGACATCTGTACAAGGCCACTGGTCTTTTCAATTCTACTGGAGTGGGAAAACTGAAGTGAATGGAGTCAGCAGAAAAGATAAAATTCACCTTCAAGTACAGGGCTTGCCTATTAGATGATTGAAAATATGGCACACATTATTTTAGTGAAAGGCATTGAAATAAGTGGTAATCCAAAGTATTGTCTATATTTGCCCTTACAATTTTTAAAATTAGAGTAGTTTTTATTTTCTAAAACGTCTAATTTCTCCAGCTTTTATGGCTCATCAGGTCGTAGTAATGAAAACTAATTATGGCTACAGGAGAAGAAATGCTTTTGATAGTTTTGTTCTTTATCTGCCACTTTTTATAAATTCTACTCGAGCCTAAGTTTGCATAATGCCTCCAAAGTGTATTTTTATGTGTAATCCGAGTAGGCTACAAATTTATTTTTTTGCAGCTGACAAATACCAGATTGGCACATGGCTAATGCCTGACGCTGAGAGGACTATTCCAGTCAAAATAAGATTAGTAGATTGGTGGGCTGTCAGTCATGGTTTCTAAAATAAATGTTCCCCCAGACTGATTGAGTTCTCAGTGTACATGTTGTCTCTCTTTTGGTGTTCTGAAGATGGCATCGACTTCTTTCCCTTCAGTTCCCTTGGTGAGACCGAGAAAACACATGGGTGCATTTGCTAAATCAAAGCAACAGAATCAAGTAGAGAGGGGAGATAGGTGTATATTGAATATTTCTTGTGCCAATCACTGTTACATGCGTTCTGTACAAGTACTATGTCATTAAGTCTTTACAGCAACCTTGTAAAGTTTGGATGATGGAACATATTTTATATATATGCAAGATGGGGGTTAGAAAAGTTAAATATCAGTAACTTTCCCAGAGTTATCATCTAATTAACCAATACTAATTTGAACACAGAAAGACCTCTTATTCTGTTTACTCTGCTTTCCTAAGAGAATGAGGGAAAGATGGAGGAGTGATAGTGAAAAGCAGGTTAAAAAGATGTATGGATGAGCATATCATGGAGCAACAGATACAGTTGCTTCAGTTTCTTTTCCTGTCTTAGAATCGCATGTGTGCCAGGCATCATCATGCTTGTAGTCGCAGAGCTTTGGGAGGCTGAGATGGGAGGATTGCTTGAGTCTAGGAGTTTGTCAAGACCAGCCTGGGCAACATAGAGATCCCATCTTGACAAAAAGAAATTTTTTTTTAATTAGCTGGGATGGTGATGCAGCCTGTAGTCGCAGTTACTTGGGAGACTGATGCAGAAGGATCCCCTGAACCCAGGAATTGGAGGCTGCAGTGAGCTATGATTGCTCCACTATTCTCCACCCTAGGCAGCACAGCAAGATCCTGTTTCTAAAATAAAATAAAATAAAAATTCCATCTAGCATCACCATCCCTTCCCAAATTAACTTAACTTTTGTTTCTTGATTTAAATAATCTGTTATGCAAGGCAGGTCCATAAATCTAACTTTCATTACAGTATAGACCCTTCCAAATTCTGTGATAGGCTATTCAAGTATTGTCTTGTAGGATGTATGGCAAAAGAGCATTTTCCCCTTGAAGAAATTCATATAAACTATTTCAGCCTTCCAACAAGCTGAATAATTTTTATCCACGTGCTGCCTTTCCCTGCCACCTAACACATTTTATTTTTCCTGTCATTTCTGAAGCAGGGACACTGTACTGTATTTTGAGTGCTAATGTTGATGGAAGTTGTCCCTGAAAAGATGTGCACTTGACATGTCAAGGAGTGAGTGATTGACAATAGATATAAGTACTTTTAGTGTCAAGGCTTTGTCAAGTCATTGCTGTGAAACCTAGCGTACTGAATACCAATAATATCCTCTAGGTTTTCAATGGACAGATTTCTAGCTTCCCCTGTACACTGATTTTTAATGCTTCTAAAGGAAAATTGTCTTATTTTGACAAAGTTGGAAGAATAATGTTTTCTTTTCAAGACTGTAATAAAATTTATAATTTTAGCAAATATCACCAAGTCCGCATTTCTTTTACTTTCTTTTTTTTACTTAGATTGCCTTCCCCTGTATGTTTCTGATTATTCATTTTGTGTGGAACCAATTTTTAGTGGTGAGCTATCTTTAAAGGAAAGGTTTTATGATATGCAACTAAGCTTCTAAGTTGAGCAGAGATGATTACTTCTATACTAAATAAGATGACCTCCTCTTACTACTCAAAGAGAAAATTGTTTTCATTATGGATGTAATTTTTATAAGCATTAAAAGAAATGTTTTTTGTTTCATTTTGTGCTAAAGTTATTATTAGTATTTTGATTTTTTTTTTTTTTACCATCTTACTGCCTGGAATACATGTGTTTATTGTAAATGACAGTTACTCTAAACTCTTGAAGAAATTGTTTGTCATAAAAATTTATTCTGGGGCCAGGCACCGTGGCTCATGCCTATAATCCTAGCACTCTGGGAGGCCAATGCTGGTGAATTGCTTGAGTTCAGAAGTTCAAAACCAGCCTGAGCAAAAGCAAGAGCCGGTCACTACTCAAAATAGAAAAACTGGTTGGGTGTGTGGTGGGCACCTGTAGTCCCAGCTACTCAGGAGGGTAAGGTAGGAGGATCTTGAGCTCAAGAACTAAGGTTACGGTGAGCTATGATGCCGTGGCATTCAACCCCAGGGTAAAGGAGTAAGACTCTGTCTCAAAAATAAAAAATAATAAAATAAAATAAAAAATTCAAATCTGATTCACATGTTTATATTTACTCATTTCGTTTCCTTGGCCTGCCCTTTCAGGTATCTCCAGATACCTTGTCTGTGTGACTCGCACACATACGTGTTTGGCATCAGCCACACTGGCTTGAGAGGGTCATCTTGATACACTTTGTGTCTTTAAAAAAAACCATTTTTTTTGAAACTTTCTACTTTTAAATTATTTTAAACTTAACTGAAAAGTTGTGAAGATAATACAAAGAATTTCTACACATGTATCATCCATATTTCTCACTTGTTGTTAATAGTTTACCACATTTGGTTAAAAGTCTGTATACATATTTTTTCCCAAAACATTTGCAAATAAGTTACAGACATCATGGCCTTTACCCAGAAATATTTCAGATGTCTGTTTCATAAGAACAGGGATGTTCTCATTTCTTATGTAATCACTGTATAATGCTTAAACTCAGGACACCAGTGCTAGATTTTATTCAGCAGCCATTATTCAAATTTTGTCAGCTATCCAATTCTACGCTGTATAGACCACCAGAAAACAAATTTCTAGTCCAGCATCCAGACTAAGATTAGGATCATACATTTCATTTGGTTGTTGTCATCTCTCTAGTGTCTCAGCCTTTCTTTGACTTTCATGAATTGGATTTTTTTTTTTTTTTGAGACAGTTTCAGGCTATTGTCCTAGGCTAGAGTGCTGTAGTATCAGCCTAGCTCACAGCACCTTCAAACTCCTGAGTTCAGCTGATCCTCCTGCCTTAGCCTCCTGAGTAGCTGGAACTACAGGCACCTGCCACAATACTTGCCTAATTTTTTTATTTTTTAGTAGAGACAGTGTCTTGTTCTTACTCAAGATGATCTTGAACTCCTGAGTTTAGGTGATCTACCAATCTTGACTTCCTAGGGTGCTAGGATTACAAGCATGAGCCACTACGTCCAGCCTATGAATGGGATATATTTTTTCTTTTTTTTGTAGAGACAGAGTCTCACTTTATCACCCTCAGTAGAGGACTGTGGTGTCACACAGCTCACAGCAACCTCCAACTTCTGGGCTTAGGTGATCTCTTGCCTCAGTCTCCTGTAGCTGGGACTATAGGCACCTGCCATAACGCCCGGCTATATTTTGGTAGCAGTTCAGCCAGGACTGGGTTTGAACCTGCCACCCTCATTATATAGGGCCGGCACCCTACCCACTGAGCCACAGGCACCACCCTGAATGGGATATTTTTGAAGAGTACACCACCTCCACATTTTGAGTATACAGTAGAACCTCTGTAAGTTGACCATCCAAGGGACTGTAACAAACTGGTGAATATATGGAGGTAGTCAACATAAGGAAGTAGCCTACTGTACTGATATGTAAGTGTGGTGTATGTTTGGTCTATGAACATGTGATCAAGTTGAGGTGGTCCAAGTAGAAAAGTCAACTACGAGGTTCCAGTCACTTTCTTCCTTTCTTCCTTCCTTCTTTCCCTGCCTTCCCTCCTTTTTCACATCAGTTGAATCTTTTCCTCAAACAACAACACTGGACAAACCTTCCTGACTACTGATGGAAAAGCATTTTCTGATTTACCCATTGCCTTATTTAATTAGTTAACTTTTTTTTTTTTTTTTGAGACAGGGTCTTGCTGTATTGCCCAGGGTAGAGTGCAATGGTGTCATAGCACATAGCAACCTCAAACTCCTAGGCTCAAGCTTTTCTCCTACCTCAGCCTCCTGAGTAGCTGCGACTACAGGCACGCACAATCATGTCTGTTTTTCTGTTTTTTTGTAGAGACAACTGAGTCTTGTTCTTGCTCAGGCTGGTCTCCAACTCCTTGCCTCAAATAATCCTCTTGCCTCAGACTCCCAAAGTGCTGAGATTATAGGCATGAGCCACCATGCCTGGTCCTAGTTAACTTTTTTAAAAATGTCTCTCCCCTTGGTCATAAATATCATGACTTCAAAAACAGTTCTCGTTATAGACGTATAGAATATAAAAAAGTTGTCATCCCCTTTTCCTCTCCCTCTCCTCGCCTGGCCATAGCACTGATAGGAATTTAGCATCTGTCCTTCTGGGTCATTTTATGTGCACATGCAGTTACTTCTTTCATTTGGCGTCCTTTATTTTCAGAGCATTATAAGTGCATTAAAGGAAGGAACCTGTAGTGTTTGCACTTGATGTTGTACAAAGCCTGGCACAAAAATGAGAGCTATTTAATAAATGATTATTGATTGGCAGAATTTTAAACTAAGAATCATGGTTGATATGCTTAAATGTGGAAAGTTTCCTATAAAAACCATAATTGTACTTTTTTTTTTCCCCTAAATTTAGGTTGTTAAAGGCCTTACTTATTTGTGGAGTTTAAAGATTTTACATAGAGGTATGTGCTGGGTTTATAAGCTTGGATTTAATTTGAGGTGGGAAGAGGGGTTCTCTGGATACCTTGATTTTGATTTTTAAAGTGAATAAATCATCTGACATTTAAACCAGCTAATGTATTTGGTAGTCAAAAAGATGACTGCTTTATAAATGTTATTTTTCTTGTTTTCTCCACCAACTATTCTCACTTATGTTATAAACTTGGGATTGTATTTTTGTGAATCACATTTATCAAACATGTAAAAAGATATTTCATAGTATTTGAAAATGATAGGATCTTATTGGTCTTGTTTGACTCTCGTTAATGTAAAGCCTTCACTTTCTGTACCTTTGCATCCCTTCCTTTGGTTAACATTTCAGAAATCATCATAAATTGTTTCTCAAAGGATTAATTACTTCACGTACTTGGAAAGTGAAGCTTTAAATAAGGGCTAGGTGAAAGCATCAGAAATAGACCCCTGGTTTAGTAACAGAACACGTGAGAGAAAGAACTGCTGAATGTTGTAAAAGGAAGCTCCTTTTGTTTTTTAATGTTCCCAAAATGTCTGAATTCATTTAGTGCAAATTATTAAGAAAGAGACTATAACAAAGCAACCGCAGGGCTTGATGTTACTAACAGTACTGTTTAATTTTGCACATCTGCTCGTCTTAGTTTTGTATACTTTGGGGGAGTGCAACAGCATACACATTAGATGTGACTAAAGTAAAGTTTCTTTTTTAAAAAAAGGTGTAAACTATGAGGGGGGAAAAACAATTGATGTCTTCAACCGTAGTACCACATCTGTCACTAAGGGTTGTTTCCTTTTGTTGTGGTTCTAATACCTTAGTGATTCTGAATTTCTTCTTAAATTTTTCTGCTTGTTTTAAAGAGGGTATCTAGATTTTGATAAGTAAATATTTTACTTACGTACCTTCAGGTTTTGAAGGTATTTGTGCTGATATGGAATCATAAACCAACTTTTTTTTAAAAAAACCAGTCCACTTTATTTCTAGAGAATAGTTAGTGCAAAATGTAGATGTAGGGAGAGTGAGCTCAATTGTGTTAGCATTACTTTCTCTGCATATAAAGAAGTGTGAAAATGAATTTTGTAAGTGGAAGAAAAATGGAACATTTTCTGGAACATTCTACCAGGATTAAGAAAGAATGGTGTTTGACATATGACTTACATGGCTTCTATTCCTTCTACTTCCACCTTCTCACATCTACCAACCCAGAAAGTGGTTATAGCCATTTTAATAGAAATTAACCCAATGGTCAGATCTCATCATTTTATTGATTTTTTGGGTGTACATCTGCTATCCCTTTGATGATGGAACAAAATGAAGATGTCAGTTCTCAATAGCAAAGCTTCTTTAAAAGGACCATGCCACGGAAATTGGAGTGTTATTATGAAAGTGAGTCTTAGGATCATCCTGTATTCTGGGCATACAGGATAATTCTGGCTTATAATGAAATCTCTCTCCAGCCATAACTTACTGTGCGGAATCTTATTAGGACTAAGAACTGTAGTGAATAGGAAAACACGTTATAGTTATTCCGCAGTCATCTTTACTTTTTCTCTTTGAAATTAGAAATCATGCTGATAAGTTGATATATCATAACTCTTCCTGATTTGGTTTTAGTTTTATTCTGTGTTAAGAGAAATAACTGCATTTTTCCTCTGAAATGGGATCTTAATGGATATATTTAAAATGAATTTATCTGGGCCTAAAAATGAAGTCTCAGGTCAGATTACAGTACAGCCACCTTCTGAGCACTGTGGTCAAGTGTTACCGACCAGAGCCTCTCAGCAGCCAGTAGGTTCTTCCCAGCTCTGGTTGACACTTGTGCTAAGAAAGGGCTCTTTATCAGGAATATACAAGGACCACAGTAGTTTGACTGATTGAAGGTATGGAGCAGGCGTCCTCAAACCACGGCCCGTGGGCCACATGCAGCCCGCCTAGGACATTTATCCAGCCCGCCGGTGTTTTTGCCACTGCTGCCTGTCCTGCTTAGCAGCCGACTTGTCCTGGGGCCTGCAGTCCAGCCCTCCAACCATCTGAGGGACAGTGAACTGGCCCCCTGTTTAAAAAGTTTGAGGACCTCTAGTATAGAGATTTCTGAAGGGAATCCTGCGCCTGTACTTCTCTTTGCAGTCTGTGGGGCTAGCCCAACTCCTAGGGAGAGTAACCATGTGTAAAATACCACTCATTATGAGAAGAAGATATCTGGGAGGGGCTGAGCAGGGGCAGTGATAATGTGTCAACAAATCCTCCTGAGGGATTTCACCATTTAGTAAATACCAGTGAGTGCATGCGTCTGTACATCTGTCTAGGAAGGACTAATGAATTACAGTGCAGGTGAATAGTTATTCCGCAGTAGTTACAGATATTCAACTATAGAAATAAATATGCTGGGGTAATATACCTCATTAAATATATGTATTTAGGTGGGACCCGTAGCTCAGTCGGCAAGGGTGTTGGCCACATACACCTAGTGGCGGGTTCAAACCTGGCTTGGGTCTGCTAAGCAACAATGACAACTCCAACCAAAAAAAAAAAAAAAAATCCAGGTGTTGTGGCGGGCGCTTGTAGTCCTAGCTACCTGAGAGACTGAGGCAAGAGAATCGCTTAAACCCAAGAGTTTGAGGTTGCTGTGAGCTGTGACACCATGGCACTCTACCCAGGGTGACAGCTTGAGACTCTGTCTCCAAAAAAAAAAACCATATATATGTATGTATGTATATGTGTATGTGTGTGTGTGTGTATAGCTTTTGTGTTTCCTAGCTACTCATGGAAACTTCTACCTTCTAGGTTTAAACCCTTGTGTTTTTATTGAAGAATGAAAGAAGGGAGGTATCCCTGAAAACTTTTGTAAAGCATTGTAATGAGAAAGTTATCCTAAATTGAGTAGTCGTTAACTTAATATTTTAGAGTTTTTGTCTATATTTAATAACTTGGATACCATAAAAATAAGATTAAAGATACCTCTTTATTTACCAAAAAGCTATTTAATTTTCTCCTTGATTAAAAAATTGTAGCTTTTTAGATCAGTTCAATCAGGCAGTTAAAGATCAGAGCTTTTAAGTTCACCTAAGGCAATTAAATAGGTAGTATACTTGTTTATGCCCTTTTGCTATGTAAGCTTCTTGCTCTACCATCTTAAAAGCCCATGTGCACATTTTTGCTGTCTTTAAATGAATGATGATGGGAATTTAGCTGAATATGTGTCACGCTGTCAAATCAAAGACAGATCCTTCTACAGGATGGAGGGGAACTGGGTATAGGTGCTGTGTGAAGACAGGAAGAAAGATGGTGAAAGAGAAATGCTGATGAGTGGTCTGCACCTCTTCCTCCTTTGTCCTGGGCTAAGTCCGTGTTCTCTGGTTATTTTCTAATGCTGCCTCTAAAAATCAGTGAGGAAAAAAAATTGCTTTATAGGAGCAGAAAATTCAGAAGATTAAGAAATGGAGATGTGTTCAGTTACCTAATGAGAAAAGAGAACAAACTATTTCTCACATTTAAATGGCTTCTTTGGATTTTTAGCTATAGGAAATGTGTATATACACACAGGGAGTATATTTTGGAATTTATTAAACACAGCTAATGAATTCCAAACAAACTGTTGAAAATCTAGTCTTTCTCGGCTCGGCTCCTATAGCTCAACCGGCTAAGGCGCCAGCCATGTACACCTAAGGTGGTGGGATCGAATCCCCAGCCCGGACCTGCCAAACAACAATGACGGCTGCAACCAAAAAACAGCCGGGCGTTGTGGC